GTGTCCGAGCCGGCTCCGCGAGGCGCGTGGGCGCAGAGCGCGCTCCCTGACGCCTCCTCGGAGCCCCAGGCGCCCAGCTCCTCCCCTCGGACCTGCTGGAGGCCGCCTCGGCTCCTTTTCCATGAACCTGACTTTTGACACCTTTTATATTTGCATTTGCTCTGACAGTGCCGGTGGCATTAAGCATTTTAGGCGCCGGGTTTCAGGCCATTGCTCTCACGGGTGGTTGTAAAACACCTGCCACTGTGAACTTAAAAGAACATTTATACACTTTTAAATTTTTTTTTTTTGCGAAAAACGTATTTATTAGAGAGGCAGATAAGAGAGTACAATTAAAAGATGCCCGACATATTCTTGTGTTTTACAATAAGAGTAAAAAGAAACAGTTACGGTGACCTTCATTCCAACGCAGTCTCTTCAGAAGCCGAGGGTCTGCGTCCAGCAGGCGCCGCCCTGCAGTTACAAAAGGAAAGTCACCAGGGAGCAGGAAAAGCGGCTGGCCAAGTGGATAAAAGAGTAAAATGTTTTAACACTGAAGTTCAAGTAATAACTTAAGTTTGTATTTACAAACTATTTTTAGAACAGTTTATATGACTTTCTGTAACTTTTTGGAACACCTTTAGATTTACAGAAAAATTGAGAAGATAGCACTGGGTTCCTCTACACCCCAAGCGCGGTTTCCCCTGTTAAGGGGTCACACTACTGTGGGGCCTTTGTTAGTTAATGAACCACAGTATTGCAAATTAAAGCCCATCATTTATTCAGATGTCCTTTTTTTCCTAATGCCTTTTGCCCGATCTGTCTCCACAACATCACACTGAGTTGTCGTGGTTCCTTAGGCTCCTCTTGGCCATGACAGTTTCTCAGATGTCCTTGTTTTTGACGACCCTTTCGTTTTTAAATAGCACTACATACAAATATATTCTGTATGGATGTGTTTGACAGAAAGCAATTTTTAAAAAATCAAGACCACAAGAGAAGTCACAAACCAGTTGGCCAATTGAAAATTGAAAATTACACTATTCTGAACATTTTGGCAAACATTAAATAATCACACCTTAGACACCATGACAAAGAAGTGTGCTGGCATTATTAAAAATCAAACGTTGCCTGAGTTATGGACATCAGGCAGTAGCAGCTTCGCCCAAATGGTGAGTGTGAAGGAGGGCATTGTCTGGGTGAGGTTTGGTAGATTTATAAACGAGGTTGGGAGGAAAGGCTTCTACACACGCATTATTGACCTGTGTGTTATATCAGC